TATATATATATATATACACATATATATATATATGGAGATGTTAAAGCTTAGGGTAGTGTTAGCAACTTGCCTTTATTTTAAAATGTTATAGTAACTTTAACTAAAAAATTATACAACCATTACCATCAGTTATGGTTTGAATGTCTCCTGTAAAACGCATGTTGAAATTTAATTGCCATCACAACTATATTAAGAGATGGGGGCCTTTAAGAGGTGATTAGGTCATGAGGCTCTACCCTCACGAATAAACTAATGCCATTATGTGGGAATGGGTTTGATATAAAAGTGAGTTTGGGCTGGACCTGTAGCGTGGTGGTGATGGTCAACTACCGTCCAAGTCCCAGTCCTGGCTGCTTGAAAACCAGGCAGGGTACAAGTGCGTGTGTGCCCCAAATCCAGAAAGGCTGGAGAAATGGAGGAGAAGGTACTGCTGTGTGACACAGCACTCCACTGGGGGATGCTTTCCCCTCTCTCTGTGTGTCTCTGTCTCTCTCTCTCTGGTGAGCTCACGTGCCCTCTGGGAACTAAATAAAAAAGTGAGTTGAGCCCCGTCTTGCTCTCATTTGCTTTCTCTTTGCCCTTCCACTTTTCCTTATGGAAGGTCCTGCCCAGATGTAGCACTCCATCTTAGATCTCTCAACCTCCAGAGCGGTGAACCCAATAAACTTTTCTAAATTACCAACTATGTGTATTCTGTTATAGCAACAGGAGATGGCCTAAAACACCATCCTTAGCAAATGCTACTTTTTGTGCTTTTAAGCACAAAATGATATATACATAGACACAAATGGACAAAAATCTCTCCTCAATCATAGAAATCTTTTTTGTTTTGTTTTGTTTTTGTCCTCGTTGGAGGGAGGCAGAGAGAGGGAAAGTGAGAAATCACTTCCCCAGGGGAGATGATCCTGCTGCAACCCCTTCCATTTCATTCTCCTCTTGCAATTTTGGGTATGCACACACATGAGCCTGGTGTGGCTTTCAAGTCACCAGGTCTGGGACTTGAAATGTAGTCCGCCATGTGGGAATTTAGTAATTTAGTACTTTAACCACCACACCACCTGATGGCCCCAATCTTATAGAAATCTTTAATGTTTCTCACAAATTTTAAAATATTAACTCACCTGAGATCTTTTAAAAATTCCAAAGCCTATGCTATATCCCAAACCAAAGAGATCCTCATCCTTCAGGGTGGGGTCCAGGCAATAGTACTTTTGAATTTTGCATTGTTCCGATGCAAACTAGTTTGTGAACATGGCTTTGATTATTTTGGGGACTAGAGGCAGAGCAGATGATCTGCTTCCGTTTCTACCAGAACTCTGAATTTTGTGGGGCAGGATGCTAAAGGGAACATAAAATTCTGTCAATGAGTAATAATATCTTACTACTATTAAAAAATATATATATATATATATAATGCCTTAGCAAATTTTCCTTGGTGTCCATAAGATAATAGATTGAATAAGGCTTTAATGGTGGATGACAAATAAGTTCTAAAGATTAATCATCTGGGATCAGTAGTTGGTGTAATGGCTACATTGCTGGACTCCCATATAGTAGACTGCAGTTCGAGTCCCGACCCTGTGCATGAACTCCTTATCCCTGCAAGCTGCATTTCAAAACAGTTAAATGAAAATCAGTTTTTGCTATGTCAGAGAGTAAATGATATCCACAGAGTGTAAGGAAAATAAAGAGTTGAATGGTAATTTGGGTTTATAGGAGAGCACTTCTTGGTTTTCATCTTTGTTCCTTAGAGCTATCTCATGCTGATGAGAACGCATATGACATTTGCACTGCAGTGGGTTTTCAAGCAGAGTTTCACAAAGCACTGAGAAACAGGACAATCAGTGCTCTGATTTCTTAGTGCCTTAGTAAAGGATGATTTTCTTCCATTTCTTCTTCCTTTTCTTTACATCCTGCTAGTTATAATTTCAACTCTAAACATTAATCAGCCTTCTTAACTGCCATAAATGAAAGTTGTTTTCACATTAACTATCAGAAAGTCTTGCTATCAAGGCAAGGAAGTCCTGTCTGGTTCAGTGCTATTTACATAGTACCAAAGACAGGGACTATCATGTAGGAATATATTTATTCATAAATACTAAGCATGCTATTACAGAAGTGGCATGCCAATGGGGCAGTCAGACCCCTATCACTCCCCCTAAACAAAGTATATAGTGATATCAGTTGATCAGAGCTGAGAACAAGAAAGAGCAGGGTGAGACTGATAGAGTGTGATGGTGGATGACAAATAAGTTCCTAAAGATTAATCATCTGGGATCAGTAGTTGGTGTAGAGTAGCCACCTAGCCACCATCTGGGGAGGTGACATTTGACCGAGACCTAAAAGAATTCTGGAGGAAGCAGTGCTTACTAATTGTGGACAAGTGCCCCAGGCAGAGAACATAGCATACACATGCCTGTTGCTCTGGGTGAGGAGTGTTAGGAAGTGGTGTGGTCGGAGGTGAGCACGAGAAGTGGACATTGTAGAAAGTACACAGAGCAGAGCCTCGTAGATGACTAAACAGTCTTGAACAGACTTTGAGAGAGAAGTGTTAAGCCAAGACGGGCAGGATCTGACTTACATAAGAAATGAAGTGATGACTCTTCTTACTTGATGAAGCCTGGACTGTAAGGGGCCAGGAAGGGGATAGGGGACTCCAGGCTAGATCTGATGATTACCTGGATTGGAATGGTAGTGAGCATGATGGTGAGGGGCAACCAGACTCTGGGAACTTAGTGCAGACAGAACTCACAGGATTTGCCGGTGGGAAGATGTGGCTTCTGAGAGAAAGTGGGAAGTGAGTGATGACTCCAAAGTTTTGGGCCTCAGCAGTAAGGATGAGTTGACATTTACTAAGCCGAGGAAAATCGAGGAAGGAGTGAGTTAAGGTTAGGGCCAGTTTGAATGAGAGGAAATATTTTAATATAGTTAATCCCATAGCAGTTTTATTAACTGCAAAATTATCCTATTATTTCTATTCTTATCTGAAGAAATCTCATGGAAAGAAATTAGGTGACTCTTCAGTATGATCACATGGTTAATGACTCTTGCACCAGAGCTTGATTGCAAATATTGCAGTCCCATGTTCAAGTTTTTTAATCACAGGTGGCCAATGAAATTTAATTTGGATGCTCAAACAGGCTGTTTGTACAATATAATATAATTTCAGTCAGATAATTTGCAAGTGGTTGTGATGCATGCCGCTCGCTATCATGCGTTTTTTCAGCTTTTCATGGGACATCACATGTGCACATATTGGTTTTCAACATTTAAAGTGCTAAATATAACATTTGGAAACTGTTTTGAAAGTTGTTTAGAAAAAATATAAATACTACAGTATATATTGCTTTTTTTAAAAATAATTTTATTGATCTGCTTTCTGAGTATCTTTCCCTTTCTCTGTTTCTCCCTCCTTCCCTCTCTCTTCTTTCTTCATTCCCATCCTTCTTTTATTTTCCTTTCCCTATTTTTAAGAGAGAGATTTTTGCTATAGGGCACGTGCACTCACCGGAGAGACAGAAAGAGAGACGGGAGTCAGACCTGAGAAATCACCCCCCTGAGAGGATGTCCATGCCACAATCCCTTCTCCTCTATTCTCCTCCTGGGATTTTGGGCACATATGCGCATGTGCCCAGTATGAGTTTAAGCTGCTGGGTCAGGACTTGAACCGCAGTTGACTATGTGGGAATACAGCGACATAACCATTATGCCATCAGCTGGTTCCTCCATCCTTCTTTTCTTCCCTCCTTTTTAATTTTCTTTTAACAAAGTGGCTTTTGCATCCCATAACTTAATTTATAGTCTCGATTCTGATATTCACCAGCTATGTAGAACTGGGTAAGTTCTAAATTTTCAAAGTTCTAGTTTTCTTATTTCTAAAACAAAAGGTTAGATGAATCATCTCAAGCTGTTTTGTGCCTTAAAAATGTATTAGGTCATCAGGAGAGTCATACCTTAGTTTTTGTTTTTCTAGGGAAAAACGTGTCATGACTTTTCTGAAGACCCAATATAAAAATGCAGAATATAATTGGACACGTAGAGTTTTTGACATGGCTGCCCAAGAGAATTAAGTGAATAATATTTCATTAGTAAATATTAATGATGTACATTTTAACTCAGAACTTCTCCAGCCCTGTATTTTTAATATTAAAGATCATTTTCAGATTTTCACATTAATAATCATGATTAATCTTTTAAGTAAATCCTTCATTCATTAATTTGTTAATTTGTTTTTCATTTCACTCTCAAGCTGAAGATAATGCTGGGCTTACATTAAGAATATGTGGTGACTTCAAAAAGTTGTGAAAAAAATGGAATTAAGATATGTTTATTTGAGAGCAAAAAAAAATTTTAAATGCATGCACAGTTATTTTGTAACACACATTTTCTATGAACTTTTTGATGACTCCCTTGTGCTGGCATGCTCAACTAAACCCATTCAATATAAAAGTGGTTTGGTAAAGACAAAAAGCAATTTTGTAGTTTATTAATTAGATTCTTTAGCTAGCTCAGACATCCTATATCATAGCATAGTATTTTATTCTAGAAATTGGTACTTTATAAACTTACATATTTAAAGTTAAAGTGTAATGTGGGATCAGGAGAGGAAGCAGGAGACAGGTACTACTGTAAAATATTTTTTCACAGAAAAGATGCAAACCAGGATAGTTCCCATGAAATAAGACTGATGCCCACACCATTGCAATTAGCTTAGCATTGTGCAAGGAGAAATATTTTCTCAAGATAAACACAGCCTAATGACAATTTATCTATAAACAAATAATTAAGAGAGGAATAAGCCATTCCTCCTAAATTATGTTTCAGAGAGAGATTTGCAAGCTAGCACTAACATGGATGCCACTCACTTGCTTCTCTGTGTTCTGACTCTCCAAAACCTTGATTTCCCTGGCCTTAGTTTATCTGCTCGTAGAAACACCATGCATATTCACGAAGCAACTCTAGTTTCATTCATCTTTTCCTCTTCCTTCTCATACTCATAATGTGTCATCAGAGCCACGTTAAATTTCCTTCTACAGAAAGCTTCAGATGTAACACAAAGCCCCCTTTATCAGTACTGCAAGAGACTAAAGCTTTGTTCAATTCATACAAGGGAAATGGTTCTCACATGTTACCTTTTTTTATTGAAGGTTCCAACAATCTTTGTACAACTGGAGTTATCTCCTCCACATACACCACACTTGTCATACTGTAGCTTTGAACCGATGATGCCATCACAGCCGGTTCGCACGCACTTCCCCCGGACACAGACGGAATTACTGTATGGCCTACATTCAGTACCATCAGTCACCTGGATCATTGCAGACACAATAGCAGTAGAAAATATTGGTACCTTTTAAAATGTGTACTTATTTGTCATTTTTGAGTTTGGATGGACTAGATAGGACACTGAATAAGAAACGAGCAACCAAAAACATTTTCAGCAACAGTAACATGGTTTTCAGGAGTATATACCTGAAAGATTCTTGACCTAGTGGCAGAAAAATGATTGAGGAGAAATATAAGTCACACATTTTCTTCTGTGGAGCTTAATGCAGAATATATTAGGAGACCTGAGGCACTCATCGCGGTGTTGTACGCTTAACATGTTACCACAGGATAACTTTAACTTCCTGTACAATCGTTTAACTTAGTGCTTGGGACAACTACTTGTGTAGAGATCTGAATATGAGCAAACTGGGGAATGCAAAGATCCTTCTTTGTTGCATACTTGTTGTTACAGTCAAAAATCTGAACATCCAAACTTGACATTCAAAAGCATGTCGTGGCTGAAAAGCTCTCCCTACGGGTGTTGGATAGTCAGACACCAAAGTGGAGACAAACAGATTAAGGGAGAAAAAAAGGAGTCTGAAGAAGTCAGAGAAGTACTTACTATAAGAAGCTATATTTGACTAAAGGAATTCATATTTAGGTAAAAAGCTAGTTATAAAACAGTACGTGTAGATTATGGTCTATGCATGTGAGTATTTTAAATGACATGTGAGTATTTTAAATGACATATACATATTTGTATACATAAACATACATATTTTGTGTGTGTGTGTATATCAAACTTTTCATATGATTGTGTGTTTGTTTGTAAGTAGGGTACACGTCAACAGGTTAAAAGGCTTGTCAGATGGTGGCATTCCCTGACAATGTTTCTGTTTTTACTTCTCTGTAATATTTTTTAATAAGAATGTATTATCTTGGAATAGAAAATATGACATTAAACAATTATATACATAACTTGGATATAACACGTTTTTCAATAACATGTTAAAAATATCTGAAGATAGTTTTAGAGGTGGTTTCAAACATATTGCCTTTATGTAGGTTAGATAAAGTAATTGTGAACTGCAGCATAACACTGATAAGAAGAGAGAAAACGGCAGTTTATTTAGAAAATGCTCATCTGTGGGGAAAAATGGATAATCACACATGCATATATTTATAATGCACAGAACTAGAGGAGCATTGACTCATATTAAAAGTGCAACTCGTATTCAAAAGTTTAGGTCAGAGACAATGTCCTTGAAATCTGTCTTGATGATTCTTTAAAGCCCATCTAATAAAATCTTTCCAGTCATTCTGAATTTCACACCATCCCATCCCTCATTAAGAGGGCCTATTCTGGAGAACAAGAAAATATAAATATTGCTTTGGATTATAGATGTTAGACTGGTGTTTCAGAGTGAAATGGTTACAGGGGAAAGAAAGAGTCTTCTTGCTTTATAATATCTTTACAAATGTGCTTAAGAAACATTAGTTTTCATGGCTATTTTGAAGTTAAAGTCATATTTGGCTTTCCTTGACAGAGAGTTATGCTTTTCCAAAATAGTTTTTAAAATTCTTACTTGTTCTTTTTAAAAAATAATCTTTATTCATTGTATAAAGTTTGAAATGTAGAAATTAGAGAAATGAATGAAAACCTTCCTAAACCTAACCACCCCTAAATTAATGACTCTTATGTTTGGCATCTGCAGGCTTCATTGTCCCAAATAATTCCTACCAAGCATGCCGCGATTTCTGTGCCATCCAGGTGTCCTTACCTTGGGAGAAAAGACTACATAGTAGCCAGTGCCTTTGGCTCTGCAGGTCAATTTGCACACATCTGCTGGTAGGACTCCTGCATACTTGGGAACCCATTCCACAAAGGTTTTGACTCCTTTTGCATCAGATTGATAGCCATTTTTGGCCTCACACTGCTCATGACGAAAAGATTTGCCTAGGAAACAAACATATTCCATAATTATTTTATCTGTTGTGAAAAAGATATAGTCTTATGTCTCTAAACAATTTTTTTTTGGAGAGGTTTTTGCTATAGGGCGCATGCGCTCGCCAGAAAGAGAGAGACATAGAGACAGAAAGCGAGAAATCACCCCCCAGGGGGGATGGTCACGCCGCAATCCCTTCTCCTCCATTCTCCTCTCGGGATCTTGGACATGCACGCACACACGCCCGGCGTGAGTTTTAAGCCACCGGGTCCAGGACACGAACCGCGGTCGACTACATGGGAGTTCAGCGACATAGCCATTACGCTAACTGCTGGTTCCCTGTCTCTAAACAATTTTAAAGAGAAGATGGGCACTTTTCATTGCAAAGCCTCTTCAGGCACCAGTACTGATAGATTGTACCTACACATACACATACAGTTTAAAACAATGACTATTGTCTTCCAATTTCCTGAATATTGTTCATAAGAAAACAATGAAAAATCACTTGCATATTTGTTACTGATTTGCATATCAATGATAGCGTGCAGTCTAAGATTAATACTGTTTCTCCAGCCTCCCCTATTGATTACAGCTAGAATACAAGCTACTTAATACAAGCTACTTGGAGCGTGGTGCTTACTGACACTTGGAAGCAGCATACCATTGGGCGGGCAGGGAGCGACACTGCAGGAGCGGTAGATGGCCCTCTTCCCTGTGCAGTAGCGGCCACTGTTTCTGGGTGCAGGATTATTGCAGTGGCGATAGGCAAACTGGACTCCTCCCCCACAGGAGCGAGAACACTGGCCCCAGGGTCCCCAGGACCCCCAGTTGCCGTGGCTTGATGTCTGAAATGTAAAAATTTTTTTTTTTTAAACTCAGACAGAAGCAAAATATTCAAAATGGTATTTGGAAATCGCATGAAGTGAATGACACAGTGGAAACTTCATTACAGATCAGTCCTGTGCTGCATAAAGATACTTCAGCCAACCACAGATTGTATATTTACAAGTGGTCCCACACAAGTGAACCACATAGCCTGGCATGTGATAGGCTTTACCATCTAACTTTAAGGACACCCTAAGATGTTTGCATAGCATGGAAATCACCAGATGACTCGTTGTTCAGAACATATCCCTATCATTAAGGAAAAGCATGACTTAAATTTTCCCTCAACTTAATGTGACCATGCACTGGAATTGCAACACATTTCCAATTCTAGACAATTCAACTTTTCTGCTCTTTGCCCTCCTCCAGCACACAAGAATCCGAAAGCATCACTCTAACTACTGAGCACACCACAAAGATCACCTCCTGATTTCTCTGGGCCATTCTAAGTGATGCCCTCTGGTGCTATACATCTCTGTTAATAACCGTCAAACCATGCTAACTTCTTGTCCACTTTGACTTGGATCTTTAATGGACTGTGTGATGCATCTTTCTCCCCAGTGCTAATGTTCGGGAGTCTTTTGTGGACATCCCACATCCTGTTTGTGAAAGACTCTGCTACTTATATAAGTGAATTTGACCTGGACTTGGCTTAATTCCTAATCAGATGTGCTAGACACTGAAGTGCATCAGGCCACATAGGCATTCCTCTTCACACACACGTGCGTGCACAGAGGGAAGAGCCCCATTACAACACTTTAGGTTCATTCTGTTGATAATTTTGTGGGAAACAGCTGAGAGACTCCAAAAGGACAAATATTATAAATTGCTTTACAAGTAAAGGTACCAAGAACTATCCCTGCCTGCCTGAGTCAGGATACCTGATAATGCAGGGCTGGGTGATAGCCAGGGAAGACAGGGGCAACGAGCACATGTCAGCGTTCCTTCAGGTACTTGCCAAGTCCTCTTTCAGTTTTTAAAAGAGTTATTTATTTTATTTTATTTGTCACTATCATCTTTTTTTTTAAAATTTGACCAGAGAGAGAGAGAGAGAAAGGAAAAGTGAGAAAGTAAGTCACCAGGTCTGAGACTCAAACTGTGGTCAGCCATGTGGGAGTCCAGTGCCTTAACCACTAAGCCACCTGCCAGCCCCATTCTTATGAGTGACAGTCAATACTTACTTCTCTCAGATCTTGACAATTAAGGGGCAGTTGCTCATTTGAGGTTAGACTGTATGAGGACCCTTTAAAAAGTTTATGAAAATAACCATTATGAAAAAAAAATTGAATGAATTTTTTAAAAGTTTTTTTTGCATAAAAATAAAAACTTGTACTATAATTCCATTTTTTTCTATAGACTCTCTGAGGGCCCTTTCTATAAGCTGGCAGACTGTGTCCCTGGAGTAGCCAAAGGTTAACTCCTTAAGTTAGACTAATTTGATATCAGGGGAGAAACATTTTGACTGTGGAGCTTAAAAAATATGAACAAGGACCATAGAGTGAATTCTGCTATTATTTCCCTATGTAATGTAAATAAATGTATTCTGATAACTTTAACAAGCATTTTAAAATGAGCTTCCAAAACACTTTTCAGGGTATTACTTGGGGTCTCAATAGGATAATATGTCTGGGGTCTTCAACATGTAGATGGAAAAACAGCCCAGCCAGGTGGTATAGTGTTCAGCTTGCTGAGTGGCAGTACTGGAAGCTACATGGCTGACCACAGCGTCTGAGCCCCAGGTCTGCCTGAGGACACACCTGGTACATGCATGGCTGCAAGATCCTGGCAAGCTCAAGTGTTAGGTAAAGAGCGAACGTTGTGATGAGACTCTGTAAGGGTGATTTCTCTCTCCCTCTTTTTCTCTCTTATATGTGCATGCACATACTATCATTTTAAAAGTTCATGGAAAATACATACTATGCTAAAACTATCATGAATTTCCATTTTTTTTTAATTAAAATGAATGTGTACTTTAATTCTACTTTTCACAAACATTTCGAAATCCCCTCCTATATTTACTTAAGGAAGAAATGTGAAGGAGTCTCTATTACCTACGTTTTCTCCAGTATTTTTTTTAACTGAGAATGGCTACTGTGCATAAAAGATGAAGCTCAAAGTAGTTCTCTTTAGGAAAATTATTTTGAGTAGGAAATAAAGCCTCTGATCACAGTGATCACACATGTCACAGGAATACGCTTCCCAACTTAACTCTCCTAGCATTGGGTGATGAGAAATATCACTTACTGAATAGTACTTTTTCTTGGTTTTATCCACACATTTGCCCTGTAGGCAGATCCTCCCCTTCCCACACGGAGTCCCTTCCACAGCCGGCAGCTTCTTGGTCAGACACACCATCTGGCCCTGGCGCACCACGGCACACCACAGGCGAGCGCAGACATCCATGCCCGGACACACGGAGTACTCGGGCCCGAAAGTCAGGTTGCACTGCTGGGTGGCATCATAAGTCTGTCCGGGGAGTTCTTCAGGGCCCAGGATCTGCTTTCTTGGTAGGTCCAGTAAACAGTTACCTAAAAGAACAACGAAGATGGACTACTGCACTGCTCAGGTTTCAAACTGCTAAAATCGTGGACCTCAAAATGAAACACTCCAGCTGGTACTGAAGCATGATCTTCCCACAATCTTCAGTGTGAGACCCTGAAAACATGACCTTGTGAAAGATAAGGTTAGGCAGCTCCTGGGACTCACCAATGCCCTCCAAGACTGTCCAGAGTGATGCACTCCAGAGTATCTGTGATGATGGACATGTTGCTAGCAGTGGTGTGAGTAAACGAAATTGTGTTCTAATAATTAGTTTGCAGGTCACCATTGTGTTGAAGCACTGAAAGAAACTGAGATAGGGCCAGCCCTATAGCCTGGTAGTAAAGGCAGCCAGATTTCATATGACTGACTGTTGTTTGAATACTGGCCCCAGCAGCTTGAAAAACACGGTGTGTGTGTGTGTGTGTGTGTGTTTGTGTGTACAAAATCCCAACAGGATGGAGAAATGGAGCAAAAGGGATTTCAGTGTGGCCACACCCCATAGGAGTTGCTTTCTCCTTTTTCTCTGTCTCTCTGGTAAGTTCATGAGCCTTTTGGTAATCAAAAGAGAAAAAAAAATAAAAAGAAGAAGAAAAAGAGAAAGAAAGAAGAATGGAAGAAGAAAGAAAAGAAGAAGGAAAGAAAGCAAAGGAACTAGAATACATCACAATAAATTTAATAATGATATTGATGACAATAGTTACTAAATCACTTACTCTACAACTTTCAGAAGCAGTTTGTAATTGGCACTCTATACTCGGTTCTTCATGTCCAGTTTACCCTCTCCCATGCTCCTACTGCACATCTCCTTTCCACTGAGTCCATAAATAACTCACAGGACACTTCTCTTATTCTTGCCCTCATCTGATAAGAGTTCACTCAGCCCCTGTGATGTTCTAGAAAACATGCTAGTATCAGGAACACATAAAAATAGCCCAGATCTTCCCTTCAAGGTCTCCAAATAAAGTGAAAGAGATAGACAAAATAAAGTGTTTCTCCTAGACTGATAAAAATGTTAATAAAATGCTTTGAAAATTTATGGAATAAAAGAGTAGAGGGAGAAGAAAACAAAACCCAGTGTTTGATCACTTAGGACCAGGCCTAGTTTTTTAACTCTTCTCCTTTTTCTTCCCTTTGTGTCTGTTACTTAATAGAAGTGATATTTGCCAAATACCAGGTTGATGTCTCACTGAGTCATCTGTTGGGGTATACAGACACACGGGGTGAAATGAGGAATCAACAAAGCCTGTGACACACAGTGCAAATCCAGAAACTGAAATGGGCCTCTTTCCCCACCAAGGTTTTGTAAGTATTCTTGCCAGCGAGCCGACACCGTTAATTCTCTCTTGTCAATACGCATGAGCTTGCATACTGCCCATCAGTTCTTGCATGTTTGTTTCTGTTTGCTTGACTTTGGGATTGACACACTAATTATAATAGCAATGAAAATAATAACAAACATTTGTTACATCGTAAACAGACTATTCTCAGTTATTTACATGCATTTCATTCTCCCAAGAACATTAGGAGGCAGATTTATTTTTAGATGAAGAAACTGAGGAACACAACAGTAGATGACCAAGGTCCCACAGCTGTTAGGATTTTATGCTCAGAGGCAGTGTCTCTCATCATACGCCACA